GCATGTGCTTGCAAGCACACGTAACATTTAGTTCTGCATCTAACATCATAAAATACAACTAGTCTTTCAAGCCCAAGTCTTGCCTAAGTCCTTGCATGTGTAAGAGAAAGGTCTGGCATGATTTGCTACGGCTCTAGGACCACCCTGATTGAGAGATTTTCACTTTTCCAAGTCTACCCAGCTTCAACTACTGTAAGCAGATGTTGCTTCTTCAATGCCTACACCCATCTTTCCATTCCTAATGGCACCAGCTAGTTCAGACTTTCACTACTTCACCCTTGAAACAAAGAAATAGCCTCCTTTCTATTCTCACTTTCAAGCATCCTCTATATCCTGATTCCAGGCTTGTCATTTCAAAGCACTGTGCTGATCACTAAGTTAAACAAATAATTCTTGCATTGGCTCCTCATTTTCCAACACGGCTAAATGGGTACTCTGTTCATACTGCTTCTTCACATTCTGTCTTCTGTCTTCATAGCTTTGCCCCTATTTGCCACAAACACCCAGTACTCTAGATAATTTGTGATAGTCTCTATTATAGTTTGTTTTCCCTGCTATTGCATATTTGCTCCTGCTGTTACATATGCCTACAGTGCCCTATCTCAGCATTTCTGCCAGTCAGTACTCCACTTGTTTTCTGAGTTCAAAAACCAATATCCTATATCTAGCTTTTCCTGACTCTTTCACCCTTACTCCCACTTCCAGGAGAATAAATTACCTCCTCTTTATTGATATCGCAGGGCTTTTTCATTCTTGCAGCATAACTTTGTCTTTATGCTCTTGGTTTTCTCAGCCCCTAATACAGTACCCAGTGTAGCACACAGAAGATACTTTACAAATGCTGCATGAAATTATTTAATAAGCTCTGTACATACTTTCTCCAGCCAGATATAATTTATTCCTCTGCAAACCTCCATACTTAGCACTTCTCTTATTCTGCTTATGTTAACTCTTTTTCTATTGTTTTAATCTTTCTTCCTTGTCCAATCTCTCCTCACACTTTATAAATTCATGGATGTTATGGGCCTTATTTGATTTACAATACACAAAATCTGCATATAAAAATGCACTTGGTGAATATCTGGTAAAGTGAGTGAATGGGAATGAAATCTACTCCTGTCAGAGAATTCATTATTCTAAACAGGTATACTTAAAAATTTTTTCTTATCTTCTATGCTAGATTTCAAACAACCCTATGCTCTGCTTAGCTGGATCATTACATGCATGTTACAATTATGCCCCTTTGTTTCTACCTTAGACCAGAGTCATTCTACAAGGTTGTATGGATATAAGAGTTTTTACATGTATTAGTAAGATATTAAACAGAGGGCTTCTGATGGGAGAATCCAGGAGCCACATAACGTAGGAAGCTTATTCTGACAAAAAGCAGTTAATACATGAATAAGACTAAGAACACAGGGAACCCCGAGAATGATGAGATATGATCCTGACCAGGGTAGGTAGATAGGTGTCTTCAAAGAGTGTCATGCAGGAGACAATGGGGGAGGAACAAGAACAGCTCCGCTTCTAGTCTAGGAGCAGCTCCTTGGCCAAGGCAGAATGGATGTGGCATCTTCAAGTTCAAGAGTGCCTAGAGCTGGTTGACAGCTCTTGGCAGAGCCAGATGAATGTATTAGATCACATGAAAGACAGATTCTTGACTACCCTATGCTCTGCTTAGCTGTGTTGGGTTTGTACTACAGACTTCCTCATTTTGTAAGAGTTGATTGTTTATATGCTGAGATTTATGATGAAGGCATGGAAAGAAAATATGGAACATGATTGTTGTTGTAGGTGGTCCCACACATTTGGTTAGAAGAGGAAATTCTATTGATCTTCAGATAGTGGCCATGCGAGGTTCCAAGGAGATGAGGCCAGTTTCTGTATTGATGTCTTGCTGTCTTTACTGCATGGCCCAAGGCAACACCCTAAGTTGATTCTCCAGAAAGAACTGGCCCAGACTAATCTGCACTCTGTCTTACTCACCTTTCTACCTGGTAGCTATAGGGTTTGAGATTAACACCTAAACATAGTATTCCTCTCTTTTTTCCTGGGCTTCTTTCCAACATACACTAGTTATTTATGGGAGGCCTTTTCTTAGAGAAAATATTCAGAGAATCAGTATTAAGAGGATTCGTATTTCTCATGGAATGTCTTTCCTGCAAACATAGAACTACTGACATATAGATTATAGATCCTGCGGTTAATGATTTTTTCCAAGGTGGTTCACAATTAGAACTTAGACTATTTCAGTTTGGTGGTGGTCTTCTTAAAAAAAGAAATATATCTTTCCAATACTCTGTATACTTTTGGACAGCCTATGTCTGTACCACAAAGTGTTTTTTCAGTGATATGATCCCCTAATTGATTAAAAACAGTTTATCCAAATTATTACATGCCGTGGTTTAAAAAAATCCAAGGAGTATTAAAACACTTGTATTAAAAAACAGCAGTTGGTTAATCCACATCTCCCCATTTCAGATTCTTTTGTTTCTTCTGGGTTTTATCATCATCATACTTTAAAAATAATAATTTCTCTATCTGGATGTTTTCAACTTTAGCCAATGTTTGTTATTGGAATTATTTAACTGTCTTACAAATCTCACATTTCTTAACCACTTCCTTTTGCCCCATTCTCCCAATTCAGCTATATCATATTTCTAAAATTAAATTATTAGTCCATGTGCATATTGCAATAGGTCTGCAACATGGACCACTGCTGAATTAAGCATTGCAGTTTGAATTGTTTTCTTTCTAGTATATGTCTTCAATTTCCTTCCATTTTTTGGTAGTTTCTCATGTGTCTATTGAACTGCCACTTGAGATTTGTCAAATACCTATTAGATTATCACATTAGATATTTATTGATTTTTATTCCCTCACATCTCCACTGGATCTCCAGCCTTGAGTTTTCTTTTCTTCTCCTCCAAATGACATGAATTAATTTCTAGTTGTGGGTGGAGCTATCATTGTGATCCTTCTGTTTGTTGTTTTCCTGTATTGGGCCTACAGTCTCCTGGAACACAAAATTTCTTTCTTGATTTATTTTCTCATTTTTAAAAGCATATTCTCAGTAGTTTCCTAAGAAAGGGTGCAGAAGTGGTTATTATTCTGAGTTTTAGTATGTCTGGAAATTTCTATACTCAGCACAACTATCAATCGAATATGAATTTTTTCACTCTCATATTTCATTGATGCTTGGGCTGAGTATAGAAATTTTGTCCTAACATTTTTTTCTCAGAATTATGTAAACATTGATTTATTGTCTTACAGTGCTACAACTGGAAAGTCTGACATCATGCTGATTATACATACTTTGGGTTTAAAAAAATCTCTAAGAATTTTATTTTGGGTCTTGAATTTCAAGATGTCTTAAAATATCTTAAAAGTTTGTTTTTCAGTGTTTCATGGCGATTTTCAATCTAGAAGGTCATGTCCTCTTGCCATAGGAATTTTTCTTGCTATTTCTGTTTTATCTTTCTTGACTCTACTTTCTCCTCTTTTTCTTTCTAGAAATCTTACTGCTGAAATTCCTCAGTTGGTCCTGTAATTTTGTTATCTTATCCCTGTTGGTTTATAACTCATTGTCTTTTTGGCCTCCTTTTTGTTCCTTTTTTTTTTTTTTTTTTGCATTAGTACCTGGAGCGTAAATTTATTCATCATAATGCTGAACTTGGGTGTAAGTTCATGACCAAATTTATGTAATGTACATTAAACCTCATGCTTCTAGCACATTTGTTTATGCTAATATATTTCATAATACATTGTAGATATAACAATATATTTCCCAATTTAAAAGGTTAATAATATGTAAGAGTAAGATGTTTTAAAACTATAATTCTAGACAGTAAAAAACTTCTGATTAAATATCAGAATAGACCAAATATTTTCATATTCAAAGGTCTCAAAACTTTATTTCTCATCTATCTTATTAGAAAGCTAATCAATTCAGGAAATTAGACAACTGCAGGGGACAGTTTGGGAATCAATTAAGAATAAGAACATGAAGCCCTTTCCTTTTGCTGCCATCACTGAAGTGGGAACAGCCATATGAAATGAAAGTTCAATCTCTTTGTGACTACTGACCGAAGCAAGAGCTGCAAAAGGCATTTCAATGTACCTTCCCACAATTGCAGGAAGATTATGTCTTCTTCTCTTTCCAAAGAGCTGAGACAGAAGTACAAGTTTCAATCCATGCCCATCCAAAAGAGTGATGAAGTTCAGGTTGTACGAGGACACTGTGAAGGACAGCAGCTTGGTAAAGTAGTCCAGGTTTACAGGAAGAAATAAGTCATATACACTAAACAGGTGCAGTGGGAAAGGCTAATGGCACAACTGTCCATGTAGCCATTCAACCAGCAAGGTAGTTATCGCTAGGCTAAAACTGGGTGAAGAATGCAAAAAGATCCTTGAACAGAAAGCCAAATCTCACCAAATAGGGGTAGAAAAGAGCAAATACAAGGAAGAAACAACTGAGAAGATGCAGCAATAAAGTTGTCTTATATGCAAGCTATTTGAAATGAAAACAAAACATATTGAAAATGGGATAACTATTAACTACAGAAAACAGTTTTATCAAAACTAGATTCAACTGGCTTAATTATGTCTACTAGGTGAAATAAAATACAGTCTTTTAATAGGTATTCATTCAGAATTTGTTACATTAGAAATTTTAACAGGTTTTGAATTTGTTCCAGTATAAAAAATAAGGCCAAAGTGCTCCTGTAAAATCATCATTAAAAGTATACAGTTGAGATCTATCATTTAAATTATAAAAGGAAACTGCATTCATTTCATAATCTAAAAAAATGCCAATCTTATTAGGTGTCACTTTTGGCAGCAGATTAATTTGCTTATGACCCGATACAATATAAATATCCTGACCAAATCGCCAAATCCCCCGTAATCCGTCCTGTACCAAAGCTGGTGGATGCTTCCTCCTTCTGGGAAGAGAGTCATTACAGATACCAAGGATCCATTCAGGCTTGTCTTTCACTTCTACTCCCCAGTACTGCCAGCCACAACTATAGCCCTTAGAACCCACAACAGCTGGGAGGTGATAAAATCTTCTTGGATTTGGAGGTAAGTTTTGCACTGTATGTCCATATCACACAGTTTTTCTATCGGCTGAGACTATAAGTTTACGATGCACTGTTTCAGGATCTAGAATTACATCTACTTGAAAATGCTTGGTAATTTTGTTTAGGTCAGAATATTGTAGAGGCAGACAGTAACCATATTCTTTTAATTTGAATGAATAAGGTTCAGGGAATTTTAAATTTTTATATCTGTGATAGATGTCCTTAACATTTGCCAGTAATTCCAGTCCTGACTTCATATATATGCTCTCTATCTCCTGTAGTAGATATTTTAATGAGGAGGCATAATCTGAAAATTTTGTTAGGCTTTCATTTAGTTGTGCTAAAATATCCATTTCTTCATCTTGCAGTTGCCCAAGAACAGTCTCTTGCTCATTTTGGAGAAATAATCTAAGTTGCTCAAATTCAGACTTGGCTTCTTTTTCCCTATGTTTTACCTTTTTCTTCATTTCTAATAATTTTCTGGTTTGTATAGTTATGGCTTTTTCAATTAGTTCCACTCTCTCCTTCCACGGTGCAGTGTATTGCTCCAATTTTTTTCCTATAATAGGAGGCAGCCTTCTTTATGGTGCAAACACAGTGATGCTGGTAATCAGTGGAGAAACTGCACCTTGGATATAAAAGCTCTAGGTCTTCCTGACAGAAAAAGGTCAAAATCTGATTATGCTTCTTACATACATACTTCTCTTCCTGCCTCTTCCTCTTGCTTCTTATCTGGAGTTGCTTAGCAATTCCAGTCAAAGGACTTAGCTGAGGATTGCTTGTCAATTTCCTTTCTGCACAGCAAAAGTGGCAAAAAGGTCGTGGACAACTATCATCTAGATCCTTCCAGGATATAATGATGCAGGAGAGACAGAAGTTATGCCCACAACTGATGGTCACTGGGTATTTCAAGTAATCCAGACAGATGGGACAGCTAGCCACTGCTCGGAGGACATCCAGGCCTGTCACAAATTCCATTGAGCCCTGAACAAAGATGGTAGGTAAAGTAGTTCTTCTAGCAAGGCCTAGCTCTCTAGAGCTCAAGACCCAGTAAGCAGTAGATATTTTCCCTGAGACCTTGAAATCTGACCAGCTTTCAGTTTTACTGACTTCACATGTTGATGGCAGCTTCTAGAAACTTGGTAAGCACTCAGCTCCTTAGCTTCAGTCTACTGCCATGAACACTTCACAGTCTGTAGTTGCATATTACAACATATTAGCTGGGCTGCTGCTGTTCCCACTTAATGAAATAAAGTCAAGTTTTCTTCAAGAGAGCAGCCTGAGGTCCAAGATAAGGAATCTTTCCTTGCATTATAATCACCTGGAGGTGGTGGTAATAGATTGCCTGGGCCACATCCCCAGTTTCCGACTCAGTAGGTCTGGTTTTTTTCTAAGTTCCCAGATGATGCTGCTGGCCTATGGACTGTACTTCATGAACCTATGCTGGAGCAGACAGATCAGTGACCCTGCCAAGAGGATGGGCAGGACCCACTGAGCACCCACGAGGAAGGACTCAGACCCCCCCTTTTTTTTTTTTAATTTCCTGATAACACCATGGTTTTGCTTTACAGATTCTTGTCTCTCTAAGAATACTAATAAAATATTTTAGGTGACCTTTTCTTCTCTTTCCTGCAGTGTCTCTTTTTCCCCTAAATTCATTTTTACTATTTGTCTTTATTACTGTTTATCATGTTGGAGGCTTTCCGATATGTTTTGTGATCTGTGGCTGTCCATTTATATTTTTCTTTCTTTCTTTCTCTCTCTCTCTTTCTTTCTTTCTTTCTTTCTTTCTTTCTTTCTTTCTCTCTCCCTCTCTCTCTTCCTCTCTCTCTTTCTTTCTTTCTTTCTTTCTTTCTTTCTTCTTTCTTTCTCTCTCTCTGTCCCTCCCTCCCTCCCTCTCTCTCTCTCTCTCTCTCTCTTTCTTTCTTTTTTTAACAAGACCCAAACCAGGGTCCTTTAATGGACTCTTTGGTGGAGGGATACATGGGTTTCCACATATTAATATTTATTTTTCTTTTTTTAAAATTTTATCTTAAGTTCTGGGGTACATGTAAAAAACATGCAAGATTGTTGAATAGGTACATACATGGCAATGTGGTTTGCTGCCTCCATCCCCATCACCTATATCTGGCATTTCTCCCCATGTTATCCCTTCCCAACTTCCTACCTCACATTGTCCCTCCCTTGGCCCCCCACACAGACCCCAGTGTGTGATGCTACCCTCCCTGTGTCCATGTGTTCTCATTGTTCAAAACCCGCCTATGAGTGAGAACATGCGGTGCTTGATTCTCTGTTCTTGTGTCAGTTTGCTGAGAATGGTGGTTTCCAGGTTTATCCATGTCGCCACAAAGGACACGAACTCATCGTTTTTTATGGCTGCATAGTATTCCATGGTGTATATGTGCCACATTTTCCCTGTCCAGTCTATCATTGATGGGCATTTGGGTTGGTTCTAAGTCTTTGCTATTGTAAACAGTGCTGCAATGAACATACGTGTGCACATATCCTTAAAATAGAATGATTTATAATCCTTTGAATATATATCCAGTAAAGGGATTTCTGGGTCAAATGGAATTTTTATTTCTAGGTCCTTTAGGAATCGCCACACTGTCTTCCACAATGGTTGAACTAATTTACACTCCCACCAACAGTGTAAAAGTGTTCCTATTTCTCCACATCTTCTCCAGCATCTGTGGTCTCCAGATTTTTTAATGATTGCAATTCTGACTGGCATGAGATGGTATCTCAATGTGGTTTTTATTTGCATTTCTCTAATGACCAGTGATGATGAGCATTTTTTCATATGTTTGTTGGCCTCATATATGTCTTCTTTTGAAAAGTGTCTGTTCACTTTCACACTGTTAGTGGGAGTGTAAATTAGTTCAACTTTTGTGGAAGATAGTGTGGCGATTCCTCAAGGACCTAGAAATAGAAATTCCATTTGACCCAGCAATCCCATTACTGGCTATATATCCAAAGGATTATAAATCGTTCTATTATAAGGACACTTGCACACATATGTTCATTGCAGCACTGTTTACAATAGCAAAGACTGGGAACCAACCCAAATGTCCATGGATGATAGACTGGACAGGGAAAATGTGGCACATATACACCATGGTATACTATGCAGCCATAAAAAACGATGAGTTCATGTCTTTTGTGGGGACATGGATGAACCTGGAAACCATCATTCTCAGCAAACTGACACAGGAACAGAGAATCAAGCACCGCATGTTCTCACTCATAGGCGGGTGTTGAACAATGAGAACACATGGACGCAGGGAGGGGAGCATCACACACTGAGGTCTGTTGGGAGTACTAGGGGAGGGACAGTGGCAGGTAGGGAGTTGGAAAGGGATAACATGGGAAAAAATGCCAGATATAGGTGATGGGGATGGAGGCAGCAAACCACATTGCTATGTATGTACCTATTCAACAATCCTGTATGTTCTTTACATGTACCCCAAACCCTAAAATGCAATTTTATATATATGTATATATATAAAATTAATTAATTAACAATAACTAATATGAAATTAAATCTTAAAAAAAAGAATTGGGCTAAGCTTTTTGCACTGTTTTATTACTGTGAGAATGTATGCCTGCACATTAATTCAATCAATTAATTCAAAACTGATTCACCATAAATTGTAAGAGGACTGTTTGTTCCTAGCTCACTTAATGAATTTAACATATTTATATATAATGAATACAATTATATATTAAATGTGAAAAAAAAGAAAAGTGTCTGTTCATACCGTTTGCCCACTTTTTGATGGGGTTGTTTGTTTTTTTCTTGTATGTTTATTTTAGTTCTTAGCAGATTCTGAATATTAGCCCTTTGTCAGATGGGTAACTTGAAAATTTTTTTTCTCATTCTGTTTGTTGCTGGTTCACTGTAATGATAGTTTTCGTTTGCTGTGCAGAAGCTCTTAAGTTTAATTAGATCCCATTTGTCTATTTTGGCTTTTGGTGCCATTGCTTTTGGTGTTTTAGTCATGAAGTCCTTGCCTATGCCTATGTCCTGAATGGTTTTGCCTAGATTTTCTTCTAGGGTTTTGATGGTGTTAGGTGTTATGTTTAAATATTTAATTCACCTGAAGTTAATTTTGTATAAGATATAAGGAAGGGGAACAGTTTCAGCTTTCTGCATATGGCTAGCCAGTTTTCCCAAATCCATTTATTAAACAGGGAATCCTTTCCCCATTGCTTGAATAGGAAGGGTGAGAGAGGGCACCCTTGTCTAGTGCCAGTTTTCAAAGGAAATGCTTCCAGTTTTTGCCCATTCAGTATGATATTGGCTGTGGGTTTGTCATAAATTGCTTATTGTGAGATACATTCCATCAGTACCTAGTTTACTCTTAGTAAAGGTGGAAGTATACCCTTTGAAAACTGGCACTAGTCAAGGGTGCCCTCTCTCACCATTCCTATGGAACATAGGAGGGACCCAGATGACTCCCAGCAAGGAGGGAGTCTAGTCAGAGTGTGCCTGCAGAGCCCATTTACATTTTTCTAATAGCTTGAGATACATTTCACATACCATAAAAATCCACCTATTTAAAGCATACACTTCAAGATTTGTAGCATATTCACAGAGTTGTGCAAACAACACAATAAACCTTAGAATATTTTTCAAGGTTTATCCATACAGCTGCATGTATGAATGATTTATTTCTTTTTATTACTAAATAATGCTCCATTGTATGGACATATCACATTTTGTTTATCCATTTATTAGTTTACGAACATTTGGATTGTTTCTATTTGACTATTACAAATAAGACTTCTATAAATATTAATGTATAATCTTTTATGTGGACATATTTTCATTTCTCTTGGGTATATGTTAGGAGTAGAATTGTTGAATCACATAATAGTTCTATATGAAACTTTTAAAAGAATTGCCAAAAAGTTTTTCGAAGTGTTGCACTATTTTATATTCCCACTAGCAATATCTGAATGTTTCCATTTGTCCACATCTTTGCCAATAGCTATTATCCACCCTTTTTAAAAACAAGTATAGCCATTCTAGTGAGTATAAAGGGGTATCTCATTGTATTTCTGGCTGCACTTTTCTAATGACTAATGATGTTGAGCATCTTTTCATGTGCTTATTGGCCTTGTAGTTATCTTCTTTTGAGAAATGTCTTTTTATACAGGTCTTTTGTCCGTTTTTAATTGGATTATTGTCATTCTACTATTGTGTTATAAAAGTTTTAAAAATGTATTCCAGATACAAGTCCCTTAATAGATACATGATTTGTGAGTATTTTCTCTTATTCTGTGAGTTGTCTTTTCAATTTCTTGACAGTATGCTTTGAAGTATGAAAGTTTGAAATTTTGGTGAAGTCCAATTTATCTTTCTCTTCTTTTGTTGCTTGCACTTTAGGTGTCATACCTAAGAAGTCTTTGCTTAACCCATAGTCACAAAGATTCACTTCTATACTTTTTTCGGTGAGTTTTATAGTTCTACATTTATGCCTATGATCCATTTTGAGTTATGTTTGTGTCTGGTTTTAAGAAGGGGTATAACTTAATTCTTTTGCATGTGGATATCCAATTGTCTCAACACTGTTTGGAATAAAATACTGAAAGACCAATTAGAAGCATTGTGTGCATGAGAGGGCTAATATATGAATAAGCTTTATTTTAGGGTTATAGGCAGGAAGCTGCCCTTTACCTTGAGTCCCTCAAAAAAAGTGTATTAGTCTGTTCTCACACTTCCATAAAGAACTACCAGAAACTGGGTAATTTATTAAGAAAAGAGATTTAGTTTACTCACAGTTCCACAGGCTTAACAGGAAGCATGACTGGGAGGCCTCAGGGAACTTACAATCATGGCAGAAGGTAAAGGGGAGGCAAGCATCTTCTTCACAAGGTGACAGGGGAGAGAGACTGAAGGGGAAAAGTGCCACACACTTTCAAACAATGAGATCTTGTGAGAATTCCCTCACTATCATGAGAACAGCAAAGGGGAAGTCTGCCTCCATGATTCAGTCACCTCCTACAAGGTCCCTCCCCTGACATATGGGGATTACAATTTGAGATTAGATTTGGGTGTGTACACAGAGGCAAACAATATCAAAAGGTAATATTCAAAGATATATCACTCTGTCTTCAACCCTGTACCTTACCCCATTGCTCCTACTGCTTCCAGGTCTGGAACATCTCTAGCTCAATTTCACCAAAGAATTAATCCATGGTCATTTAGGAAGAAATGATGGGGAGGGGTGTAGAAGAAAGTTGTTGCCTATTTGGGTTGGGGAAGGAGATCTGGGAGTGCTCAGCCACTTTAGATGCAGACTTTCAATTTATTTCCCTGATTTCAACTTTTGCTATATCCACACTTTGCTGTCTCCAAGTCCTGAGACTTTTTGTGAGTTTCAGTGGAGCCAACTGGCTCATTCCTCGTCAGTGAACTACTTTCAGCGGGTACTTCAGTTTTAGCTTCCTCTACTCTGCTAAGTCACTTACCATACCTCCCTTTCGTTTTATCAATTGAAAATTTATTCAA